CTCCCACTTGCGGCCGGAAGCCGAGTGACTGATGAACTTCATCACGGGCAGCGAAACGAAGACAGCTCTTAATGCTCACCTTGCGTATCTTCAAAAACAAAAAAAGGGAAGGGAGAACAGAATTACAGCGAAATTCTCCCTCCTCCCGCTCCCCTTCCACAAGGAAGAGCTAAAAGTTAGCTGGGCAAATGCATGTAAATAATGGACTTGCCCTTCTTGGTAGTCCTACCCCACAACCCTTCAATACAAATTGTCACTGAAACAATTTTAAAACATAATAAATGTAATGACAGAAGAAAGGCCTATGTTTTCTGTCAGTCTATCAAAATCCCTTTGAGGACTTATTTCTATCTCAAAATACAAGAAATAAGCTGAAAACACAAAGCTATGACTCTTCACCTCTGTCATTTAACAGACAACATGACCTCCCCTGGACTTAGAAATTAAGGTAATGCCTCTGCACTCCCCATGTACAAAATCCAGACAAATTTCAAGCTGACAGACGTTTAAGAGAAGCTCCGTTGTGTATTTCAGCTCAGAGTAGTACCTGTTCAGCTTCACATCCTAACAAACATTAGAAGTTAGGTGGCTATGATGAATTAATCTCCCCCCTCACCCCCCAGATGAAAAAAGTATTCAAGTCAAAGAGACATCCAAATATCTAGAAGGTGAGACACATATAAAAATCCCTAATAAACCTTTAATTCGAGTTTGTTTGGGGTTTTTTTGTTTGTTTTTACAGGACAGGGTGACAAATTACAGCAAACATCTGATTATTCTCAAATGTTCAGGTATTATACACATTCCCATCTGTCTTGCAGGAAGGGATATTGGTCAACTTAACAGTTTAAGGTAAAATAAGCTGCGTAATAGTACATATTACAATAATAAAATGTACAGTGTTTACAAGAAATATATTTTAGAAGCAAGATAGATGCATTTGCATCAAGGCGACCTTTTAAAATGCCACAACTATTTTTACATTCACTCTTGCAACGGGTCACAAGATGGGGTCACTAAGGTCAGGTTAACAAATCACTATGATGCACATCAAATACAACAAAATTAGTTTATATACATATATATAATACATATACATGTATATTATACATATACATATATGTATATAGTAAAACTCATCAAAATCTACCAGACCTGGCACAATCTACTTACCCATCAAAAATATGTACTTGTCCTTGGTAAGCAGAATTCTGCATGGCTGATTATATATTATATATACTCATTCATTAGCATCTGAGACATAAAACTGAGGATTTAAAATTTTTCGGTTAACAAACTCTCCAATAATAAACATGGTGCCCACAAAAGCACAAAGGTAAGGCACAATAGGATTTTCTGTTGCAGAATAGTGTGCATCATGTTTACTTAACCATAAGAAAAACGTGCATTATTTGTGCAAGTTCATGCTGCAAATCCATCGTATCTACAAAGTAAAGTGAGTTTCAGTAAAATTTGTGGGACTGGTGTGCTTCCAGTCTCACCGCCTACAGGATATTCAGCTGGATAATTAGATAAAATTGTGGTAGGAGTGGGGATTAGTAAAGCCAATAATCTTAGATTTGCAACTAAGCTTCTCAGCAACAATTTTGTACTTCTACGTAAGTTAGTAAATTTACAAGCTTGAAATCCCAAGATTTACTGTCAGCTGTACTTCTAGTTAGCATCAGCCAAAATTGTTGCAAGGAAGTATGTACCTTTTAAAATTTTAACAGGTAACTGGTTCATTAAAACAAGTTACAATGTATTGGGAAATTCACTTAATCCCAATGGTATTTTGTCACAGCCCTGGCAATTGTAATAATAAATACAGCTTTTCACAAAATATTTTTCCAGTATCTGCCAATTGCTTCTTTATTGCTCACAAATTTGAATTCATTACAATTGGTATCAGACCTTTCACACAAAATCAGTCAGGTATTTTAATATAAAACCTATAAAAGATAATTAACCTGTATCTAACACTTCAAGGTATTTGGCCTTTGTCATGGTACAGCCAAAACCATATAAAACATTAGGTTCTGAATAAAATAGGAAGCTTATTCACTGCTTCAATGCAGACATCCTCACAGAACACAACCATTTTTGCCATCACCAGCATTTACATTTATATACAAAACCTAGTACATCCGCATTCAGTTTCGTTTTCCCTCACACTTATATGCAACCACTAATGCCAGATTAACTTTCCCCATACCCTAGCTGCAGAAAAAGATTCTTATACAGCAACAAAAAACTAATATTGACTGAAAAGGAAATTTTTTTAACTTATTCACCATCAGGAACTGTAGGTTGGTTGTTACAAAATACCCACAAGATTATTTCACAGGAAACTATGGAAATACAGGAAGTCGTCTTTTCTCCATGCTTTTGTATTATCAAAAACACTTCTTGGTGCAAAAATACAGTCACCACATCTGGAAATGTATAATGAATTCGGTATTCCTCATGCAAAACTTAAATGCATTGGTTTACTATAGCCCCGGAAAACTTCCTGAAGCGATTTTTTTCTTTTTCTTTTTTGTCAGCTCAGTATTACTGCCTCATTGCTAAGTCCCTTTGGAAACGAGATTTCTGGAACGTTCAAACTTTTATTTAATTCATTGAAGTATTACATACAAAAAGCACTAAAAAAGGAAGACGGCAGCCAAACAGGAAAACTCCTGTTGCAAGTAACAGTCCTAGCAGTTGTAGAAAGTCTTCTCAGGAACTTCCCTGAGAATTAGTTGTGCCTGTCCGAAGACGCAGATGTGACATAGAGTTCATGTGTTTGTTTGATGGCTTCAGTGGAGTGTTACAAGTAAGAGCCTGGGGAAAACGATGATGATACCGATCTAGTCGCAGGTATTTTACTGTTACCAGCTTTCCTATGAGGCAAAGAAATAAGAAAAAAGAAACCTTCTAGTTCAGTATTATTACATTATTACATTCAGGATGTAATACACACAAACACATCATTACACTGAAATTAGTTTACCAAGTGATGACTACTAAAAAGATCCAGTTTTTGTTACAGCTCAATACTTCAGGTATAAAACATTTCACCATTTAAAAGAACTCCAACTGCACCCATCTTCTGTCATTTCTACCCATGTTTTGTTATAAATCCCCATTCCTTACCATCAAACCAAGAGCCATGTAATGCCTTGAAAGCCTTTCCAGCATACTCTGGAGAGAGACACTTGACATATACACAACCCTGCATTAAGAAAGAGAGGGTTTTGTTGTTTTTTTGTTTGTTTGTTTTAAAGTCCAACAGACAAGGATAAACAAAGCATTAAGATGCAACTGGCAAGACACTCACCTCACGTGAATTTTTGTCAACAGCAATATGAACAATTCCATCATTATCACTGCATTTCTCCAAGATTGCTTCTTGAATTGCTAAATGCCAGTGATCACCTATTTCCCTATGCAAACAATGAAAGATTTAATTAAGCACATCATTTTTTCAACATTCACAACAATCTCATCCTTCCCCACTGAGTCTGGTTTCTCTGTAACTTGACACAATTTTCTGTTAAATGCCTTTGGACACATTTAGTAGTTTAGCTACTGAATATTCAGTAAATTGGGTCCTACAGTCCACTTTAGAAAATTCAACTCTAAGAATCAAAAGGAATATCTGTATTTGGGAGGGTTTGTCCTCCTGCAGCCTGCCATCACCTTCCTGACTGAAATTGCAAGTAGTCATAAACTCATCTTCCCACACCTGCTCGGACGGGCTAGCCGCTGTTCCAAGGGGAAGGCCACTCCTAAGCTGTTCCTACTGCAGTGGAAGAAGAGCAGGGGAAGACAACAGCATAAAGGCCTCTGCCCCTTTACTGCATCACCTCTACCAGCAGTCACAGAAGCAACATTACACATCAGGCTTCAGCCAGCTGAAGGAGCTTTTTAGCTATTCAGACACTGTTCATCACTGAAATAGCTATTTGCTATCCCAAACAAAGCATCAAATTGCATTCGTCCCATAGGGTACTGATAGAACATGCCAATCAAGATCCAGAAATATAAGTTATTAAAATCAGATTCCAATTTTGGGGGCTTTTCACAAAAAATACTTTATTGTCAGGACTAATCAATCTTTAGGTACATCATTAGAGAAAACAAAAGTCTATGTATTTTTGTGAAGGTACTGCAGGAACAATCTGGTCCTTACAAAATAAATCTAAGCAGAGGGAAAACAATTTCAACAGCCTTAATACACCTTTAAGCTTGCCTGAATAGTCTTTACACAAAAAACAATGAACTTACTCTTTCAATAATACTATCAAGAGCTTTGGGTAGGTTTAAAGAGTTTTCTCTACATAAGGCCAAAATTCTTGAAATATTTGATCTACCTTCCTCTTTATTCGTGAAAAATAATGTGGTGGGGGATGGACTGTACATAGGGAAGTTAATTGGTCAGAGAGATGTTACTTAAATCTGTCAAGCAGGACACTAACACAACACTTGAGGGATTCTGGCAACATGGAATGTCAGATTTGTTTCTGTCATTTGACCTTGACTGGTTAGAGGATCGGACTTTCCAGTTGATGCCCCTTACACAGGCAGATCATATAAACAAGCAAACAAAAGTGGGAGAGGGACACAAGGATGCAAAGAAGATCCAAATGAAGGTCCTACTGGGAGAGAGACTTTCCAGTGGAAAACACCTAAAATTTAAAACCCTGCAAGTTAGGAGAAGACGCACCCTACTCAGGTTGGAAGAAAAAAGTGTTTTCCTTTTACTAGATAGCTCAAAATGAAAGACATACAGGTCTCCTTCCCCTTCTCTAACAGTGTAAACAACAGTACTTTCTAAATAACATGCTGTACTCAGGATGTTAGGGAAATAAAGTAATTCCAAGTTGCAAAAGATCTTTAAAGATCCCCTCCAACCCAAACTATTCTGTGATCCTATGAAATCTTGACTTTGGTGCATTCCCTCCCAGCCAGGCCTCATGTCCAGATTTTCTTGAGAAGAATGGTGTCATCAGCAGAAAGCCAGCTACCATAAGAAGAGACCATATTAAGAGTAGGCAATCATCTTTTCTTCTGTGCATTCTTCCCAAATACTGAAGTCACTGCATTACTCCCAAGCGCTCATCTCCTGTTTGCAAATCAAGCAGAAGTACATTCTCAGTCTAGTCTGCTTTTTGTGTTCTGCAGACCTGGGACATGAAACATCATGAGTTATCAACTAACTTGGATTTCCCATAATGAAATAGGCTCCCACCAGGAATGACTTGCCATTCCCTGATCCTCCACACGTATGTTCCTTAGCTGTCAATATGAGTCTTGCAGGACTGCTACCCATGCTTTATGAACCATTCTTTTTACTGACTTAGCGGTAGATGCAGAAACGCTAAAAAGGGCTTATCCAAATGATGCTTAGACTCCTATTTTAAAAAACAGGTTTGTGTCTGGCATAATAAATGCCTAGAACATACACCCAAGTTTGTCTGCTGCTGTGGTCTGAGGGTTCACAATATCCAGGTAAGTTTTCTGACTTTTGGCAGTAGAAAGATGATTATTTACTCTGTTAGCCTTGATAAATACAAATTAACTGGTATATTCCCAAGATGATTCTCGGGTTAAAAGAAAAGACCTCTGTTATGGATGGCTGCTTTTACCAGCTACTGGCATATTGTTGAAAAGTACTTAGTCATTTATTCTTAGTATACGATAGCTTGACTTAAAGAGCAGCTAAAACCTAATTTTGTTAAACATACCTTGTACCCATGGCAAATATCGAAATAGAATTTGCCAATCTAATCACATACACTGGTACATTCTGTGTTTCAGGTGGTCAGTGAAGGCATTCATCCCTTTCAGATCTGGGGTAAGAACTTAAACCTCCTCCCTCTTTTGATACAAGCAGTTGAATAAAGTAGTTTGTCTTGCCCTGAGGGTTTTAGGGTTTTTTTTTTACCTTGTACCCATGGCAAATATCGAAATAGAATTTGCCAATCTAATCACATACACTGGTACATTCTGTGTTTCAGGTGGTCAGTGAAGGCATTCATCCCTTTCAGATCTGGGGTAAGAACTTAAACCTCCTCCCTCTTTTGATACAAGCAGTTGAATAAAGTAGTTTGTCTTGCCCTGAGGGTTTTAGGGTTTTTTTTTTTGGGGGGGGGGGGTGGTGGGGGTGGTGGACTTCCTTAAGCAGCAGTCCTCTGCAAGACAGCTCATGGAAGAGGAATGGGCTGGGGCATGCAATGTGAAATTGAATGAAGTATCCCACTACAACTATAATCCAGCAGTCCAGTAACGGAGCTAGGTCAACTTCCAAAAGAAAAGGTCTACAAAAAATGAATGTATTGAAAGGTGCACTGTTCAAAATAGCTGACTGGATACAGACACTACAGAGAAGTGTCAAAAGAGAACAACTCCTAGTCTATAATTTTTTTTAATGCACTTGCTGGGCATAGACTGGGTCAGTACTGAAAAACACTGAAGTTTACAGCGAAGATACAGCCTATAAAGGGAGATTGTTCTGACAAAAATAACATCTCAGTTACTAGTTTCATTAACAGCAGACATTTTAACAGCTACATTTTGAAACAAGAAAATAACCAATACAGCATACCAATAAATATTACAGTGAAGCTTCAGGAATGGATTTATTTCAGTACTACTCAGACTAACCAATACAGCTCATGAAACCTCCTTTGTAGCAAGGACAATAAGGACATTGATCTCACACAAAATTCTCAGCAAATCTCATCTTTTATTTCATCCTCCTATAGGAGGATCAATTTGCCTCATGACAGTGCCTAAAATTTCAGTCTTGCTCGCCCTACTGCAACCTGAAAGTTATGAAAGAAGCCACAGCTGGGGTCTCTGCCCACGACAGTCATTAAGTCTTAAAGCCATTGAGAAAAACAGTTTTTAGAGTACTTCTCTATGCTAGCGATAACACTGTCCTCAGCTAAATTAGCTAACAGCTTTCCAGTTAATAAGGCAAGGAACTAAAATAATTAGTGTGGCTAGAAACAGAAGTGAAACAGAGCTGAAGAAACACATCCAAACATTGCAATCACTTGTGTCTATGCCCCGCTGTCGCCCCCTACTTCCTGTTATTCCCTATTCTAATCAATAGCTTTTATTTTCCACTCAACTTCTCATATTCTTCAGCCTCAATTAGCATCTCACTTTTACTCTGTAAGACAGTATAGCATCTTCATTTTTCCCTTATATAATCACATCAGGGAATAAATTACTTGAGAGGAGTTCTTGGAGTCCTGTATCTCTTTGCACTGGACAAACCAGGTTTCAAAGATTAGAAAGCATTAGCTGGCGTAACCTACGTGTTAGTCCCCAACTCCTAACATGATCTAGTCCACAGCCAACGGGGATATAACAGGATAGTGGATGAAGCTTTAAAAGACTACAAAAAAATTAATTATTCTTCCTTAACTCTTGGCACATGAAACAAGGCTTGTTACTTATTCATACACAATACATAATTTAGAATTATATCTGAGCATTAGAAACCAGTACTCTGCACTAATTTGTTTACAACCTTCCCACTACAAAAATCCATTTGCTTCAGAAGTAGCCAGTCACATTACCATAAAGTAATAAATGATTTAAATTCAGCCTTTTAAATGCAAACTGTGCAAGCTCTAGAACAGTCTAAATACTCCAGAATACTTAACAATAGTTCAGAAACTTACAGTCTGTTGTTAGGCCGTAAGTCTCCCCTGTCAGCTGATATAATTGAACATTTACAAAATTAATTAATGGAGAAAGATCCGTTACTGCTCCAAGTAGTTTGACTAAATGCCACACTCTTCAAGAAGTGACCCAAAGACACAACGCAAGACAATAAGGACAGAAGACAGACAGTAAGATTATTTATGTCTTCTCATAGATGTTAAGAGGAACATTTTTTTTTTACAACCCATTTGTTTAAGGTATTCATGTTTACTCACTTCTTCCAAACCCCTCTCAGAGGAAAGAAATGGACCCCTTCCAAAAGAATACAGAAATACAGATAGATAACTGGGTTTACTTACATAACTGGATCAAACATATTGCGAATCTTTAGACATGGTGTCAAGCTGTTTGGTGGTGAATTTCTTCTATCCAGATGAAATGCTACAAAGAAAAATAAATTTAATAGTATTTATTGACAGGCATAATACCATCTAGTTAACAAGTGTCAACTTTATACATTAATACCTTTCTGGTTTTACTCAAAAGAGTACTTGTCTTCATATATGAAAAAGTTTCAAGCACATTAAGTCTTCTACTGCACCGAAGAAAATGTACCATACTTAACTGAATTTTTTAGATTTACAACTTCTACATTTAAAAAGATAATCCAGTCTCTTATATCCAGGCCACAGTACATGGAAGGAATTCAGGATATTTTAAAAAACACCATATAGTTGAAGAGAAAGTATTTGCATTACATCTCCATGAAAAGACAAATATTCATAACATCTGGAGCAAATTTTTTGGAGCTGCAGTTTTAAAACCATTCAGTTTTAACTGCCTGATGAATTTTCATTTCTTCCACTTTTGGGGCAATTTACTGCCCATGTGACTAAGAAATAGGGAGATGCTTAGATGGATGTTGTGTTGCATCTTTATTGCAGTAACAACTGTCAAGGAGCACTCTACAAGGATAGAGTTTTTGTAACCCTAAATGGTCTACACCCATGATCAGAAGCTTGCAAAAATCTGAAATTCAATACACCAGAGGATAAAAGAGATGTAAGAAGAAAAATGGAAATTAAAAAATAACAGAGCAACTCTTTCAAAGCTGAACAATCCCATGAAATACATTCTGAAGCTCTAAAATAAGTAGTAGCTTCTCTAAGGTTCACAAGTTCTGCTTGTGGGAGTCGCAACAGAAGACTGCACCACGAGAAAAGGAATAAAGGAGCCCTTCAGATTCAGATAAGGTAGTTCCATGCCTTGAGAAGGGCCAACAAAGCAGCAACAGAAATGGAAGGGGATAACCTGGTAAAACAACTTCCAAGGCTTGAAGGAAATTTTACTTTGAAGACTTGAGATGAGCAGATTCAAGAGTTTAAACATAAGATTAAAAATCTCAACAAGACAAAATGACATTCCAAACTGATGCTAATGCTTCTCCTTTGCAATCCCTACTTTAGAAAAGTTTGACAGATTCAAGATGTTACATTCCAAGTGTTAGAAGCCTCAGTTTTGGGCAGATGACACTACAGGTCTGTGCTTCTTACTGCTGACCTTTTAAAATAAAATCTTGCAAGTATATCCAAAATACATGAACACTGCTGCTCTTCTGTATGTCACCAAAACAAAAACCGTGGCACACAGAAGAAATTCAGTCATGTGGAAGACACTGCATGTGAAAGACAAGCACTAACCAAGAGAAAATTCACTGCCTGCAGATATGGCATAGACAAACTTGCTCCTTATGTAAATTTCTGAGGCAAAAAAAATACAATTACCAACAAGAAATTAGAAAAGGTGGCCTCCGAATCTAATATGGAACCTACCGTAAGTTCCCCAAATAACTAAAAATGTTCTTCTTAGAATATATACATACACAGTCCAAGTCACCAACACCTGTAACAATTGTCTGCTTTTTCTTGGGAATAGATTTCTAAATATGCTGGTGACACTGCATCTATCTCTGAGCTGCCTATAGTTTAAGGACAAGTCCTTTTTCAATAGCACATGGTTTTGTAAAGTTTTTTGCCCTTGATTAAAATTTATACATAGGGTATACAATAAAAACTTTACAGAACTAAGCAACATTGAAAAATAAGTGGACTTACCTTACTCATGTAGGTTGGCTCCAGCAGATCAAGGGGGGGGGTGAAATGTCACCAGCATATTGTACACTGGGGCATCATACCATACTGGAGAAGGTGATCTGGGGTGGCCTAGTCATGGACCTGGACCTGAAAAGGTGTGGGGTTGAGGAAATTATGTGCTGATTGTTAATAGCTAGGTTTATTCAGCACATGGTTTTAATCCAAGGATAAAGAATGGTGAGGTTATTTGCAGAGACGCTAGGCCCACAGGATCAACATTTCTGCAAGCTGTTTATGAACTCCAAAAAAAACATACTGTTGTTTAAGGCAGCAGCTACAGCATTGAGCTATGCAAAAGTAACTAAATAGGGAATTCATGCTTTAGTGTAGATACCTATAAAAACCAAGCTTTGCCCGCTCCAATTTCTAATAATCTTGATGTCCTTTTGATTGGAAGATCTCAGGTGCTTGCAGAGATGACTTCAGCCAGAGCACACCACCAGCACAAAACTAATCTGCTACCAACTTAATGTAACATCATACTAGTAGAGCAAGCATGCCCAGGGCAGTGCAGCATATGAAAATAAAGATGAATTCTGCTTTTTCTCAAAAATGTTTCAAAGTCATGGTAAATTAAAAGGAAGTTTTGCAACTTAGGTGGAGCTTTTTATGTATAAGGAAAAAAATGGCCACAGAAATCAGTGAGGTACAAAATTAAGGCTAGTACAGTAATAAGCATTAAAACGTATGCCAGAAATGGGACCAAAAGGGTAGGCTAGGGAAGACACAGGCAAGTGAAAAATAATGCTGTATCTACACAGCAAAATTCAAAATAGCATAGTTAACAGATGTCTCTTGAACTTCATTACATATCTATAACAATTAATTCTCCCCCTCCCCCCAAAAGAGCAAGTTTAAGTGACAAACCTATTCAAATTACAGTACTGATTATTTGAAAATTTACACTGGTGTGGAGCATACAAAATATTCTCACAATAAGGGCATAAGCAGACATTCTTGTGGGACAACAGTCTAAGCTACACCATAATTAACTAAGCACCTCACATGCCACTTCTTTTCCTAAACAGGTCTCAACAGTGAGACTTACAAGATGAGGGTAAAAAGGTGGAGATGAAATAGGAAAACAGTTTACTTTGTGCAGTAAGTCACTGACAAGAAAATTTTTAGGACTCTCATAAATTCCTGTTGGGGACTAGTGAGCACCTTCAAGAAAAGGAAGCCACTTTGTATTTCAATCATAATGTATTTTATTACCTTAAACTGTATATGACTGTATTCCAGATTCAAAGAACAGCAGCAGCTAAAAGCGTGTGCTTTCAACAACCTCTTTATCACTGTGACTGGAATATGTCTGTGATGGAAGAAGTGGCTCTTGCACAGACTTAAAAATTAACTTCTAAGAAATTGTAGTACAGCTTTCTATACCTCTTGAATTACTACTGTATTATTGCTAAAGGGATTCCCCAGTATCACCACCATGGGTTATAAGACAGCCCAATAGATCTTTAGAGATGGATTTGATGCACCTGATAAGGTTGAAGACTTGCATCAAATACAGGTAACCATGTTTCTGAAGAACAGATTTATTCATGTTAAGCCACAGATCACTGTAATTTATTAAGTACTAACGCTTCTTATCAAAGGCAAGAACAAAAAGATAAAACATTTAGTTGAAAATGTTGAAGTTATTCACTTTCACACAACATGAGGTTCTTCAGTAAACAGGAAAGATACTGAAATCAAAATACTAATAAATGTTATTACGAGAGGAGAGCGTGGTTCACTTGGGTTGAACTTAATACAGTTAAGTTCAGCTATAGAAGACCAGCATGGGATGGATACAGCACTTTACAACAAGTGTAAAATCCACAGTTTTCTTGCCATAGTTAAGAATAGAGCACTGTTTTTTTTGTTACCGGGGAGAGAGGATTATATTCTCACAAGCCGGGAAGGAGGGGTGTCATTCGCACAAGGTAACAGGTTATCTTCCATGCTGCAGGATGAAATATCACCCTAGATGTGGTACTTCAGAGAACCTCTTTATCTCATCTCCAGAGCTGTCAAGGAACTTTAGCTATTGTTGTTAGCTTAGCTACATTGGAGCTCTGCCTACCTATTTTTCTTTAGAGCTCCAGTTATCAAAGCATGATAGGACAGTACTATCTATGCTGCCAAAAGCAAACTGAACACACTAGAAATCTATTTTTTTGCCCACTGATTTAACTAAATTATACTTTGGCATGATCAAGGTTGTTTTTCAATTGACAATTCTCTTGTCAACTATTTTCAAAACATCATTCATATTTGTCCATCATCCTACAATGAGCTTACCTACCCATTCTTTTTTTTTTTTTGACAGATACATCTACCGTATCCAGTAGATAATATTTCAAAGGAAGTACACCTGACTTTATTCTGACCCAGTAAAAAAAGAAATCCCAAACTGTCTGTCAAAACACAGGCTACATCCTGAAGAACTGGATAAAATGCCACAGTGATGCTTGAACTCTAGATGCTAACAGACAGTAGAGTCTAGATCTTCACGCGTGCTACAGGTTCTGTATTTAAAATGCATGCTGTCATCTACCAATATCCTGGTACACACTGACAGGTCAAAAGGCTTTCTTCTTCAATCGTACATACTCTAGGTATTGTGCTCTGCTAGAGAGCACTATCAGATCTCAGAAGGTTAAAAAAATTGTGACTCTGAAATTTATTCACAAGATTAAAAACCAAGAATTCACTCTGATTTTATATGTACTGAGTTTGTTCAGGACCTAGCAGTCTTGAAGAGTATTTAGATTTATGAACTTCTATATTCAAACATCAAAAGTGGAGGACGAACTCAATTCCAGTTGATTTATACTTCCAGAAGTGAAGAAAGTGAGGCATACATATAAAATTCCTAACATCAGGGAAAAAACAGCTGTTGTAAAAGTATGAAACTTACGTAAGGAACTATTTCCAACAGTCATATGAAAACAAGGAACGCAAAGTAGAAAGAGCCTTTGCATGTGAAAATTGCCTTTGCCTGCTGACTACCAAGATATACAGAGCCCAAATGACCTATGTCATTTCAGCCACCCCTATTTCCATGCCCTTCTCTTAGAGCCAAAGTATACAATTTCAATTCTTCAAAGATCTTTGCTGAACTACAAACATAACAAGAAAACTAGGAAAATTGCTATTAAAAGAACTGAAACAGGGTAGATCTTAATATATCCTATTCAATAGAAAGCATAGAGTCTGAAGTACATACTCTAGGTAACATACAGCTAAAAGCCACAGCTGAGAGAGAAAGTTATTCTGTCCACACTCACAATATGCTGAAGTAGGTATCAGATGCTCAAATTCAGATGATACCTAACAGTAGCTACTAGAGTAGCAGTCTTTCTAGGAAGTTTTGGAACCTACTGTTCTGTTGAGAATCTTGAATGTATATTCCATGTAGCAAAGCAGCACCTGAGCTATCACACACTCAGAAGTCTTCCAGATGAAGGAAAATCCGATTTCTAATACAGGACAGAATGTTATGGAGTGATTTATATTGCAGTCAAATGGGACAAGAAAAACAGAGCAAATGAGTAGTAAATGAGAAATTCCAGAACTGGAGTGTCATATTTCATAGCCTGTATTGAACAATAAACTATGTAGAAGATTCAGCTTTCTAATATACATAGCTTGCAGAAGCTACTTTCAATTTAAGTGTTTGAAAATTGATCATGACAGTATTACAGAGATGGAACAGAGACAACTGTTGACAAAACCCACCATTTCTGCACTGCACCTAAAGCACTTGCACATCCCTAAAGGACAATGTCCTAGGAAGAAAAGGCTCTACAACTTTTATAATAAAGTTACTATTCACATCTTACTAACTAAAATTTTGAGAAACTGAAATCATGTAATACAGTTGTCACAGCAGAATGCCATGTTACTACTACTACAAGACAATGACTGCAGAAAGTCAAGCCTGCAGTAGTATTCACAAGGTATTTAAAAAAAAAAAAGCAGTCCTCATTTCCAATCAATGATTTGAAATGAGAAACGTAATGCTAAAACCAGTAGCATAACTTTGAGAAGTATATAATGATATCCCAACGTAACATTTTGCATAGACAAGCAAGAAATGTGTCCCAAGACTACTAAGACCCTCATCAGATAACATGCCACATATCTGCGAATGTCTCAAAATATTTGGCTTTTCAAGTTGACAGAGAGAATTGTTCGGTTTTGCTTTGAACTTACAGAAAAGCAAAATTTAAGTCCCAAGGGCTGAAAGCATACATAGAACTTACAAAAACATGCAAGTGGCCTGGGACAAAACCAGAATCTTAGCAGTACTTTTACTGGGGCGATCAAGCTTGCTACAGCGTAAATGTTCCAAGCCACAAAGAAGCTCTGTGTCTTTGGAAAGGAAATAATCACATTGGAAGGACCTACTTTAAACTGTACTCTCTTTTATAGGACACAATAAAAACATTGTTTCTTGCAAATAAAAATGTATATCAGTAAAAAGCAAAAGAAAGAAGCCCATTACTACTTGCATTAGTTAAACTAAGACCAAAATTAGCATACTCCAGAAGAACACAGATGAGAGTGCAGTTGCTTGCCAGTGGGAATTTTTATTTTGTTGAAGTGGGGCTAGGAAGGGCAGAAAATCAGTTTGGTTTTTAACTAGGCTTTTTTCAGCATCTAGTTCAATGCCATAGAAGTAATGCACAATACAATCTTGACAACATCTGATTTAAAAAGCTAAACTAAAAACTGGAGAAGCAACCACTCCCTCCTCCCTCACCATCAAAATAAGCTGGTAAGTTTATAAACTAGGATTCTGCACAGCATTTATTTCAGTCCCATTGGAGAGATACTAAATACAGCATTACAGAAGAACATAAGCCAAGACAGACTCTTTAAAAGAGTCACAACATTTAAACAATTGGCAATTAAGATTTCACTTTAAACATTTACCTTCACACTCAGACATTGATAGAAATGACCATTATTTTTTATTGCAACACAGAATTCAAGTCGTATAGCTTCAATTTTTCATTGACAAAAAAAAAAACCACCACCCCAAAACCTGAAGCTTAACATGAAGAGAGACAGGAAGAAAAAGAACTAGAAAAGATGACCACTGCAGACAGACAACTGCAAACCCACTGAATTCTTGCCACTTGGCTTCACAATAAAGCTGAAAAGTGACAGACCACTGCAAAATCCACGTATGACAACAGCCTCCTCTATTAAAGCAAATGCTTTGCTGCACCACAGAGCTTGAAATACAAATGCTGTGTAGAAAACGTTTATGACAGAAAGAAAGCACTACTAGGAGATACTCAAAATCCATGTTCTGCTGATCAAGGAGTCTTTTGTCCCAGCAGTTTCCCTTTCAAAATAAACATCTCTTCCTCCAAACTCTGTCTTTAGGTACCTGACTGGTAACAGTAGGAAACTCAAGTCTACAAGCTCTGATCTACCTGCTGTCAGATACAACCAACCACATTACTTCCAGTAAGTATAAGGCACGTCAGAATTTGACCAACTAAAGAGTTTTTTTTTTTAAATTCATTAAAAGGTACAAGCAACTCATTTTGGCTACATGCCCTTTGCTGTATTTCTGCAGAAGCTGTAACAGAAAAGCTCATTTTGCTTGAAAACAAGGCAGACGCTGAATGCACAGAAAAAGTAAGTCTATTGAACAACAAGATAATAGAGAAATAGCACTGACAGTTCATAACAATACTTAAAGGTGTGAGAGAAAACAAGTCTTTCATGTTCAAGCAACAAAAAACCATTTAGAAGTTAGATGCAGAAATTAAGACAATTATATTTGCAAAATAAACTTCAATACCTTGGCCTTGCCACACTTTCGATGGTATTACTAAAATTTTGTCACATGCTGCAGAAGGTTGCATCCATTTCCAAACCAAGAACTCGGCACCACCTATTCTTCGTGTCTCTGTGCGAACTCTAGATTCATTTGCTGCAAGAAATTCAACTGCTCTATTCCAGACTTTCTTCATTTTCCTCCTTAAAAATTGAAGCAAAAATTACGAAGTTAGCATTATAACAACCTGCATAGCTGACAGAGCCCCCCACCTGTGTCAATAAGAATCTCCAAAATATTACACTATGCAGCCTACTGAAATTAACTTACTTAATTGACCAATTTATTTCTACTATTTTTCCTTAGTTACACATAAGGAAATTCAGTACTTCTAGTGAGAACATACCTGTCCTGAGGTGGTATTAGAGAATCACGCACATGTAAAATAGGCATGTAAGGCTGCAAGTCTTTATTTTCAGAACATGCCTCGCTGTGACTTCTTAGAACATCTGAGGACACCATAAGAAAAACTGGTAACTATGTAGTTCATGCAAACATTAAGAGAGATATCAATTCTGGCAATGAACAGCTAGTCTGAAGACCCCTCCCAATTTCAGTAGTTAAAAGTTAAGGTGGTTTTGGCATTTTGAACCATTTTTTCCTCCTAACCATGCTGAAGGCAAATCAAGAAAGCTAACCACACACAGTGCCTCCAAGTACCCCAAGTAACTTTGTAATAAAGGGAAATAGTTCTTGCCATTACTCTTGATTGGTACTTTTAACTGTTAGCAAAGACAGTCACCTTTGAAAATAAAAGTGCTTTCCCCCCACCCCAACAAAACTTGATTTGCAAACAAAAAAGGTAGGAAAATAGTAAAAATAGGAAAACAGCTCCGATTTGTCTACCATCTCTGTATTTATGACGATTGCCATAGGTGAAAGTAATAAGGCAATCTGAGTAAAAACGCATCCCAAAACAGAACTTAAAAACTACAAATACAAACTACTGAAAACATTGTGGCTTCAAGTAGAAAGGCAGAATTTCAGAATTCAGTTAGACATTCTATTTTAGTAACGTAATTTCTGCTCAAAGTGACTAACTAAAAAGCTGCTTTTTCTATGAAAAGCCATTTAAGGATGGAATTGAGAGCTAGCACACATTTTAGGAGTGGAAATTCTAGCTAGAAAGCTGAAAAACCAGATACAGAAAGAAAACATGTAATCATACTTCTAGTGAATCGCATTTTTATTTGTTTTCAATAGTAAGATAAAATACCACCAAGTCAATGGGCATTTATTATAGCCATGTTGATGTAATTCACAAATTACAATCTTTATACCAAGAGCTTTGATTAGGTTTAAAGGATGATTTAAAATAAAAAAAAAAAGAAACAAAACACATGAACCACACACCTGATCAAGAACTCTAACAGCATGATGACTGACAACTAAACAGGCAGAAAACGTAACTGAATTAATGCCAGTACTTTGAAAGCTTATACAGAGCTGATACAGATACATCAGATGTGACTCAAGAAGCCATACCTATGATTTTTACCACCATATCATACATCTGCCTTGTTTCTTCTTCCTCTTTTGCCCAACGGTATTTCATGTAGTGCAAGACTCCCCAAACCATTGCTATACCTGCATTAAGATGTATAATACTCTTTAAACAGTATTAGAACATTCGTTATTAAACAACATTTACAACACATACTTCAGAAGTTGGTTGAACTAGCTAACATTTTGAAGTACTTTAAATTTCAAAGCTAGTGAAATACACTGTACTCGCTGTCAATATTTTATATTTTACTAACATAGCAACACAATCTTAACCTTTGAAGAACAGTTACCTTCAGAAAAATGTTTCATTGTTTTAACAATAGCCTGGTATCCTGCTACTGTGGTTTGAAATTTTACCCATTTGTGAAGAAAAAATTAAAACAATTATATTGGAAAAATTCAAAGTCATATCAAAAGTCACATAAACTGACAATTCAGAACATGTTAGAGATCTAAAACCACACAATATTCACCAATTCATAGACAAGTCACATGCTTTAGATGTACCAGTCAAAACTAATTAACTTGGACTGCTGTAGTTCAGCTACAGATCTGTGTTTCTTGCAACAAAGTACTGCATGCTCTTTTTCTATTACTTTAAAGATTATTCCCAAGGAGGACAATCTAGTTAACATAAGCTGAAAATAAAAAACTTATTCCTTCTTCTGTCTCGGGCTGCAGGCACCACTATACCCATGATCTCTTAACAATAAAAAAACCCGCAACAAAAACATGCATACACAAATTATAGTTACATAGTTTGTTTCGTATCGCAAGGCAATGTTAACTGATACATCAAAGAGACTGAGGGACACCATTTTAGGCCAAAATGGGTGTTAGTGAATGACAATACATCTAACATTTATACAACGGTTTATTTTTGAAAAGGTGCTTCATATTAATCTTAATTACAAATGAGAAAGTTGAGACAGAGCAATTTGCTCAGCATGACTGATGAGACCAGTGGTTGACTTGGATACTGAGTTTCATCTACGCATCCCAATTCAACCCTCATATTGACTATTATCAGAAAGATGGCAATCTGGGACAGTTTGCCTTTGATTCTTTTGGTTCATCAAAAGGCTAGTGAAGGTGGTCTCAAGTCTTCTGCTCGTAAGCATGAGATTGTTAAGATATTGCGATAAACAATTTATTAAATATTCAATAGGTGCATGAGATGAACTCTGCATCTTCAATATTTCTAACCAGCCACATGGAAAGGAGTGAGAAGTGTCTGCACTCAGCTGTAACATATTTTTATGCTGCATAGTTTTCAGTATGGTTAAGAATTAAGTAAACTTGAAAGAATTTTAAACTTAACTAGAGAACTATCAAAGACTAAATGAATTAGTCTTACTGAAGGATTAGATACATTTTTACAACATAGTCTTAGAGGTAAGAATTTTTGGTGACAACCATGTTGGGTATCCAACTTTTCCTAAAACTAGGAAAATCATCTTTTCTGTAGTTACGTTTCCAAAGTTCCTGGAACAGTGAAATATCCTCAAAATTAAAGCTATCATGTCTTTTTACTGCGCATTTTGCTTTTTCAAATAAGTTCAACCTGGAATTTTTGAAAGCCACTTTCTCTAAACATGCTGTTTACTTTTCCCCTTGCACTTACATAAACGCAAGTTATAACAAAAAAGTTTGATTTTTTTATTAACTTACCCAAAAGCAATATTGATAATCTGTGAGTTACATTAACAAACGCACGGCGAAAACGACACCTGAAAGACATCTTTGGACTAGTGGATTCCAGATACTTCACATCTGTCACATTAGTGACATCCATCTCATTAGGGTCATTGCTGAGACACCTATTCAAAAATATACAGTATTTATGAAAAAGGATACATTCTGTTAGAAGAGATTAAGCTAAGAAGTAAAGACCACTTACTTTATGCCAACATCTTCCCCACTATTCAAGACCCATTGTAATGCTGTGTTAAGTACACTTTCATATTCTGGATCTAAATTCTGTCAAAAGATAAATATTAATGAATAATTTTGTAAATAACCAGAAAGTTATCATGCCACAATAAAATTCAGATGCTGCACAGATTAGTAGCCAAAACTATGTGGTTTTCTTCTTGATTCTTCAGATTTTGCGTAAGTGTTCGCTACACAAAGTGAATCTATACATGCTATGAGCAGCTATCAGACTTACTAGCATTCCTCAGATTAAGGATCGTTTAGAAAAGTCAATCCACATTCACTGTTTTATTAACAATTCTAACCTACAGCAAGAAAAAATTATTCAGCCACTAGGCGGTGCTCATTGAAAATCTACTTCAAGAGTAAAACTCAAACTAGATATAAACCCAGCTGAAAATGGGTCTTATAAAAGCAGTTCAGGTCCTTTTTTTTTTTTTTTTGAAGCAGCTTGAGGAAAATCAATTTTAACTGATGTTTTGAAAATAGTCCAGTGTTTGTAGTTCAAGAACTGATATTACTACATAGAAATTGACTTTTTTTTTATACATTAGTTGGTATCAACTATCACAGGAGAACATTCACTGCTATCTGAGCTAAGGCTGTCTCCATAGTTCACCTTGCACGTTCTTTTGCAGAAAAAAAAAAAAGCAAAAATGGAAGTTACTACTGTATTTGAAATTATACTCTCCAAAAAGATTATCTTCATCTTCCTTTAAACCTTACATAATGTAACTGGCCTAGAATTAAAGGATAATATTAAAGTTTTATCACTGAATATTGAAATTCTGCAAAGAAGTTATATTTATATTCCCCAAATGAGGAACTGTAGGGTTAAATGAGACTTTGTACGAAGTGACAAATTTTCATATGAAATTTGAGCTTCTTATGAGAACTAGAACAGTTGTTATGATAACAACCATCATTCTTCTAGGTAGGTAAGACCATCAGTTATCTGGCATTAACTTAATTTTTTCCAATGTATTCCCACAATGCACTGTTTTTAACGGATATAGAATATCATTGCCAAACCATAAACCAGTGTTAGCAGCTTCTTCAAGATGTTCTTAACATTGCCCCTTTTTGTCTACTATGTAAACATTTGCCAAAATGTAAAATTTCTATACATTTGTATATTAGAAGTCACATCAGCTTAACTCCCCCCCCCATTCAATCAAAGAATCTTATACTCTCAGCCTTTTAAAAGCTTCAAGTAGTTTTCCACTGAAGGGTACACCAACATGGGCTAAAATAAACCCTACAGCTGTCAGGACAAGGCAAGAGTCATCTTTTATTTGGGGAGTGAGGCAGGCAAATGACAGCAGAGAGTGGGATTTCATAATACTGCACACTATCAATTAACAAAAAGGCCTTTTTTGACCACTTCTATTTAAAGCATCAATGAATGGTGTCTCCATACAGCTGCTGCCTATCAGGCCCGCTGCACAGATCCACGCATCAACCTCTCATCCCAAAGAAAGGAAGACAGTACCCTTTTCTACTAAGTCTCAAAACATAGTATAATGATTTCTGCAAAAGCTTCTAGAGATTTGAATTTCATAAATTTATGATTTTCGTGTTGGTCAACTATTTCCATCAATTCAAATTATGCCCTCGTGTTTTAACTAAAGGGAAAAAATCTGCATGCCATTGAAGCACTATCTACACTTTCACTGCAATTAAGCCAGTTTCTTTCACCTTCCCTCTACCCCAAAGCCTCACTACATCCCCAAATTAAAATCGTAAGTAGCATGTGTTAAAGACATCAATTCCAAACATTTCCTTGTAACATTCAATACCAAGTCAAATTTTAGTTAATACACTAGATATGAAACCAGGCCTTACAAATTGTAACTTACACAAATCTTACATACAACCAATGAAAAATACCTCATTTGCTTACTTTTAAATATGCAGCTGCCTCCTGGACGGTAAGATTTCTTTGAATAGAGCTGCCACATTCATGTTCCCCTGGTAAAATTAAACTTTTGTTTATTTTCATCTACTTATGACTGCATTATATAAAAAAATCACCTAAACACAAGCTTATGGTTAACACAATCTACACAAGCAGCAGTAGCTCAGTAATTCTCACAAGTTCCAACAAAAATATAGAAAAAGCTCTGGACAAGTTTCTCCTTAAAAAAAAATTTAAAAAAAAAAAAGATTGTCACAGCTAATAATATGTACAAATCACATAAATACAACTTCATGTACTGCTCAAAGTATATTTTGGTATTTACACTGAAAGTAGAACAAAATGTAATGTGAAGAACTATCAAAAGGACATTACCATAAAACAATTGCTGTACTCTGACTCAACTTCTTCCAAATAATTTCCATTTACTCTGAAACATGTATTATCTTTTACACAGACCAAGTTAGTTCCAGTTGCAACGTACCCATAATAGTATTTCAGGCACTATGAAGTTACTACATTTTAGATTGGTCCGAGTTATCACAATAACTCATCACCTTCCTGAACATGCACAGAATCCCAACATGGCCTGAAACTGGTGGTTTTACCATCCTCCTAATTCTTTTGGAAAGTATGCAGAAATAGTGAGGAAATAAGGTATTATATGCACAGTCAGTCCTCACAGCCACGTGCCGTCATCTTCCTGATTTTCTTTGCTAAACTGAAGGTACCTGATTCATGCAAAAAAATATGTAGTGACAGTCATACCAACACAAAGTCACACAGAAAAGAAAAAGGTCTAACACCAGTTTTATCTATCAATAGGCCATTATTTCTGAGAAACTGTTAGGGAGTAGCGAATCACTTTTTTCCTGATCTTTCTAAAAAAAAAAAAAAATCTTAGCATCTAGAACTATGATTTTACTGTGCCAAAACAATAAAATAGGAAACAACAAATCCAGTCTTTGACTGGCTCAGGGTTATACCTGCCTGGATCTACGCCAAGCTGTATTATTCCCAGAGCCACAGCAAGGCTAGGAAAATTTAAGATACTCATGCATATACAAAATATAAACCTTTGCTTATACACCTACAAAATATTTGAAGTTGGAATTACTCCACACTGAAATACTCTTTAAATGGAGCAACTTCAAGTATTAATTACCTACACAAACGAGAACATTCAAGGCAACCTGAACAAAAATTAGGAAACACTAGCAACTTATGGAGAAGCATCTTCATGTCTCATTCACATCAGGGAGTTCCAAAGAAATAAGTGTTTCTATGAAGCAGAAGTCCTTCTCAGACTGCTAAAGCCAAGTTTTGTTCAATACCCTTCAACAGATCTAAGAGAATTTGGCCTTGCAAGCACATCAGCATAACAGGGATGCTCTTCTCTTATTGTTGGGTAATAGAGAAATAGGAACACTGTTTTTAAGAGTGCTCATATGCTATCTGGCCTAGAAGTGCTGCTGGAACTAAGCCTGTGTGTGCACGCGTATTTTCAATCAAGCACTGAGCAGAAGGAGTGGGCTGTCCCCATGTGCCATAAAAGAACAGGCGGGGAAGACGACCGGCCTG